AAGACATATTATTTCTTTTCTTTTTTTAAACTATAGATATTAGAAATTTAAGAGTCTGCTGTAGTTTATTAAACTTGCAATAAAACGTTTTCTTCTGTGCTTTCACGTTTTTTGTCTCCTGTGTGTTCCGTTTGCAAAGAGACTTGAACTTGAAGTAAATTTCTGGCAGTTAAAGAACTTCAGGTACAGGCAAGAGGTTAAAAGATCATTTTTCAATAACGACCACATATCAAGATAAATTATTATTTGTTTAATTGCCAGGGTTTTATCTTTTCGACTTCTATAGACTAATATGATTCAAAACATAACAAACAACCTGTCACAAATCGATATTAGACCATCACATTATGTTCTTTGTTACGTTATTTTTATCTGTTATTAGACACACAATGATGAACTGTGTGTGTGTTTTTTATAGCAAAACCACATAGGGTTATCTGCGGTGTCCACCAAAGGCAATCGAACCCCTGAGTTTAGTGTTGTAACTCCAGGGGACTTCAGATCAATTGAATATCTGCAATGATTCCCCTACTTTAACCTTATAAACTTTGTAGCTTACGTCTGACCTACATAAAAGTACTTGATTTTGACTTAAAGAAGTGATATATGAAAAATAAAATAAAATTTAAGAAATAAACCCAACAAATGTAAATTAGATATTAAATTACATTTTAAAAATACATTACTTATATACACAAAATAAAGTTGTTCAGCGGAAAGTAAAAAAAAAAAGTTTAACCAGTAATTAATTAAAGTTAAGAAACGAATCTTTGATAGAAACGAGTCTTAACGGTAAACAGGTCTTTATGAAACAATTGGCTAACAAAGACCCCTGGATAGTGTTCTATGTGTGTTACCCTGTGATAAAACTGCCCACTATGCGGTAAATTGTGTTACAAAATTGATCGTTTTCAGTTACAAATAATAGCTTTGAATCTAGCTGGTCCTCTCCAAGAGAATAAACGATGTAACTGGTATATGATAGCTTAGCAACGAATATACTGATTTAGAGAACCTGGAGGAAATACAAATGAACCAAAGAGAGGATTACAACAGCCAGTTATTTACTGAATTGGATAAAGTGTTTTAATGCTACAAACACATACTTTGTAATGTCTGATGTTTTCACAGAACGCATACATTAAATATAGATTCGGCTAGGATAAACACCTACCACACAGAACAACCGAGTATCGTGCTACACAACGGGTATTGACTATTTGTTTACTGAACGAGCTGTTCTATACACACATAATACAATCAGTTTTGGTGATCTTGATACTTTGTTAGCCTCAGTTTTCTTCTGTAGTAGCTTAAGATATCTCTGACACTCTACTTCATATTAAATCACTTTCGTTTAGCCAAAAATACCTTAGTTCTTTACCAGCAAACTAGTTTACACCATTATATTAAAATATCTTAAATAACTATAAAAACTCTTCTGAAAATATCTGTAGATAAATATTATCCAAAAATGATCTTGGTTGAACCTCCTCTTTCGTTAATTTTTCAGATTTTCGTATTATTGGAAGCACTTCCCTTTCATTTCTGTAAAATTGTAATAAACTTTCACTTAATGATATTCTTATATGACTATGAAAGCTTGTTACATATATATATATATGTGTGTGTTTATACATTATGACGTATTATAATTTCAAATAGCCTGAAACTGAGTTAAATGATAACTTAAATTTAGAAATTAAAAAAATCCCGATATGTATCTAATTTATGATATTTGCCAACAAGATTGATAAACACAGTTTCTTTTTTAATACAAATATGTTTTAATATAAAAACACTAATGTAATTTACAATAACAGTAATTACAAATAATGATCTATGTACAAAAGATTTATAAACTTACAAACAATATCGAATCTTCTTTCTAGTTCCAGGGTTCACGATGAGCGAATTAATGTTGAGTTGATGTAGATGCATTTCACTTAACAGTGAGTTAGCTAGCTTTGTGCTCCTCGTTGATTACACGCCATTTAGATGTCGAGATTTTTACCTCTGAAGTTATATAATGTCTTCGTAAAAGTACTAATGTCTGATGTGAATCCACAGAAGTTAAATGGTTTGTAATGTTCGAAATTTATAAATGTTCCTGGTCAAATATCTGAAGTTTCCCGATTAATAAGCGTTAATCCCAATTATAACTTCCGAGATTTATAGTACAGTAACTGTAACAAACCAATAATATATATACTGTCTTTTTGCGCGTCGCGTTGGTTATATTTATAGGCAGGAGGAAAGTTTCTTGAAATTTTAGCTTACGCAACAATACTGACGATACACTAGTGCTTAGATATACACAGCTATTGCTGGTTCTTACAATCGAGAATCTTCTTCAACTTTAGTGAATAG